GGCCTAACATCATCTTTTAACTTAACAGTTGATCTTGGCTCATCAAATAGTGACTTATCAACCAAGCTTTTAAGGACTAGCTAGTATTGGAAATCCGTTCGACATTAAATTATTAACAGAAAATAAGGTTTAAAAGTGCAAATTTTAATTTTGGCTCTACGTGGTTTTTGACAACACTGACCATTAGCGGCGCGTCTTAGATTAATTTTGGGTTGCAGACACAACAAATATTAATCCAGACATCTGCTAGGCAGGGAGTTTGGTGAAAGTAAAAGAGGACAATGTGTAGCCCTTTGCGTGTTTTAATCCAAAGGTAGTAACCATTCACATGACTAAATTGAGAATGAGCACAAATTTGGAAATCATGCTGCACGTTGCTTATCAGGAAGCAAGAAGCTCTTAAATTGAAAAAAAATTTCACAAATTATCATTGTATTTAGGAATATAAATCATATTATGGACTCTGTTTCAGCAGAATTTTAATCGCATGCTCCGCTCGGTGTTTTAGCTACAGTATTTTTAAGCTTTCCTTCATAATTTGCGACCAATAAAGGCAATGCCAATGATCAATTAAGAAAATAAATTAAATGAGTTGCCTTGGTCATAAATCATGAAATTAGATCGCAAATTAGATATACAGAGGTAATGTAAAAATAGGAAATGCAATCAAGCAACGCATTTTACGGCTAACTTTACAAAAATATCTCCATTTTAGTGCTTTAAATGCAGGAGTTGTAAAGTGAGGCAGTATATTTTTAAAAACTACTTAAATGATTTTTAGGAAAAAATTTAAAAACAAATCAATTTAATTCCTATGATGTGGTAGTTAATGAGGCCAGACTGCTAAGCAGACATAAAATATATCGACAAAATATGCCTAATGAAAAAAAGTAGTTAGAAATGTTTTTATATTATAAAAAAGGTAGCAATTAAAACTACCAATAAAAAAAAGTTTGTTTAAAAATACACGGAAAAAAGACAAAAAAGGCCAAAGATCTGGTGATGGAATCTCTAAATCGAATGCAGCTACACGAGTCGCCTTAAAGCCGCATTTAGTCAAGCACAGATTTGCCACAATCAAGCAAATTATAAGAATTAGCTTAAAAACAAAAATATGGAAAAGTGAAATTTTTCCAAAAATATCTTTTTCAAAAAATATTACGAAAAAGTTTTCGAAAATTGAAATTTGTGCTGTTATAGTTAAAAATAAAAAGTAACGAAGCCAATTAAAAAATAATTTAAATTTTTTTTTACAATTACACTTGCTTTTTATGTTCTTTAAATTCTTTGTTAAGTGATTGCTAAAAAAAGACAAAGTTCTACCCAAAAACTGTGTTAATAAAATGTTTCATTTTTTGTGTTTACGAATATCAAAATTTTTGCAATAGAGTAATAATAAAGAATTACAGAATTAGGTATAAAAAAATGATTACGAATAATTTTGCAACCTAATTGCTATCGCTAATGCATGTAGTATTCAGTATTACTAATTTTGCAGTTAGTACCGCAAGATACCTTGATTAACATCCGTATGCAAATTTGGTCACCTTATCGGGCGCCCTGAAAAATGCATTATGCTGAAAGTTGTTTCTAGACCTAGTGATGTGTTTGGCCGGGCAAATAATCTCGTAAAAGACGGCACAAGCAGTCAAATTTTTATTTTTTTAAAGAAAATTGGTATATTGCAAAGTTTAATTTAAATTGCACACAAATATCTGAGCTGAAATCAGTTGCTGTCAAAAATAAACCTAGATAAGCAACGCAAAAAGTAACAGGATTTTTAAAAATTGAAGGGGTAAAATACCATTAAGCAATTCTCAGACGACTCTTCAAAAGGCCTATTTAAAAAAGAAAAATATAAGATACTTAATGCATCCACTTTACAAGTAGGAGCATATCTGTGCCTTGTTTTTTATTTATGGGAAGAAATACAAAGTCTTTTACAATAGCATATTTTTAGTTTTCATCGCAACTTAAATGCTCTATTTATTCAAAACAAGCAGTTTAAAGAAATTGCAAAACAAATTAGGAGAGAGACTTGTGATATTCCTCTAAAGTTTGCACAGAAATTAATTTTAAGAGAGCTTTAAAACTTTGTTTCACCTTTTATTGTTATGGCATACATTAAAATACAACAATGGTATTAGGGTCTACCTACATAAAAATTTACGGGCAGTGGTCTTTAAAGAAATAATTGTAGCTTTTTTAATGCGCAAACCTATTTTGTAGAGTTTGTATAGTACCTATTCAAGCAAAATTAAAAACGCATTAAAATGCGTGATATATGCACTAGACAACGTTTAAAAATTAGTTTTTATAATAACTAGCAGATACAAGGCCTACGTATCACTTGTGGCTGTATCCGAGGCCTCTGTTCGCTGCTTACAGCATTGGAACACTAATCAATATGAAAAATGATAATTAAAAACCTTGATAATTTGCATAGTTGTTTAGTTATAAAAAAAAAACAGAAAAAATCTAAAACCTTAATTGCACGTTTTGCTGGTAGTAAATTATATCAATCTATTTGCTTTGAAGCCACGATAGTTTACCTAACTGGGTTTTCATTTCGATTATAATTTTGGTGCTCTTTGGCAAAACTTCTTAATGACTCAAATTACGATAAATTGCGGCGTTTACTGATTACTTTAGTAAACGAAAAAATTTACTATCATTCGAAGATCAAATTACTGTCGTATATTACTGTGTAGTTGATCCTAATTCTGAAGTGTTTAGGAATCTGTGGTCGAGAGAGAGATTGTTGCTCACAAATTAATTTCGTAAGAAAACATTTGATACCTTTGTTAGCATATATACAAATATATTGAACTGGACTTGATCCTACAGAATATATTTTTTTAATGTTCTTAAACATGATCATTAAGGCATCTTCAGTAATATGTATGACGGAGTTTTAAAGCTCTCCTAAAATGCATTTTAGTAAAAAATTTATAAGAATATCACTCACCATATTCATCTATATGGAAGAGTTGTATGAAATATTTGCAATACTAGATCGATGTTGTCCTTGCTGATGTACAACTTAAAAATTAAAAACTGGCTTGCGAATTTAGAAGTTTTCGTTTTGCGGTGATTATACATGCCTTATGAAACGCACTAGTGACAAAAAACGATTTAGGATATTTGACAAAAAAAGGAAAATAATTGCTTTGTAGTGGTATTTTAAAAAAAGTAGCTGATGCGGTGAGACGTCGTTTGACCACTTTGTGTAAAAAGTGAAGTAAGAAATATGCTCATTTATTTCTTTAAAGTGAAAAAAATACATCTGCAAAGTGGTTGTAAAGTAAGGTATTAGTTTGTAGGTTTAACTTTGAAAGAAGAGTAGCATTTAACAAAAGCATTTATTCTCAAAGTGCTCTTTACACCGCATTTACTAACATCTACAATATACAAATATAAATAAACATAAATAAACATTAATAAAAAAAATATAAGTAAAAAATAAAATTTAATAAAAATATAAATATAAAATATATATATAATAAAATATAAATAAATATGCTAGATGTGCCTTCTTCTTTAATCTAAAGCCATCACCTCCTAACGAAAGTCCTCATTTCTAATCTAGATAAAACACGTACATATAAGAGGGCATGAAATGGACAAAAAACTGTTTTACTTAAAATTCCCTTTACAACTAAAATAGTTTGACTACGATTGCTGATAACTTTTGGTCACTAGAGCTAGCTGTTTTACATTCATTAATAATGAGACATTGATATTAATTTAATGAGGTATATTTCTTGACAAATTCATTGTTATTTGCTTTCAATACCAAATTTTTTGTCTTCCTGTCACAGGTTAAGTTCCTAAATGTATCAAAGCTGTCTGCATTTCTAATTCTGCGTTAATTGTTGTAATTCGAATCGTTGAAGTAAAATAAATTCCAATTAGTCTGAACAGTTTAAATATTTTCTCCTAAACTAAAATTACATTTAAATAATATGAAAGACTTTTGAATCTGAGGCAAAGGAAATAATGTCTACTGTCGTCAAAGCGTCTTATCTAGAAAATGTTTTAACATATAATTTTAGTTTGGTCTTTAATACCTCTATCTGCCACAATAAGTTCTTGATCGGACAGCACAAAGTGAAGTGTTTACATCTAAACTTTTAAAATAATTGCAATCAAAGTGCAGAATTTGACAAGTCCTATTAGGCGCATACACTAGAAATTTTTTGCTTATGGTTCTACTATCGTAAAATGTAGAAGCCTATAGGTCTCACTAAGTCTTCTGGGCTTAAGAAATTCTGTGCTGATTGCACAAAAAAATTTCATCAATATAACATGAAATCTGTTTACTGTGCTGGAGTCTAAAATAGCTTATCTAAAAAAAATAACTCGCTGTGAATATTTTATTAAATACGCTTTAAAGATTTTACGTATTTGCGTATTTCGGCTTTGAAATGAAATTGTCTTAAAGTGTCCTTTGCTTTGGCAGCAATAGAATAATTTGATGTGCATGTTGTGCTTAAAGTGAATTGAGAAGTATTTTTGGAAAACCGAATAAAATGCAGTCCAAAGCTGGTGTAGATTGAGACAAAGAAATTACTATACCACAGCCTAAACGCAGAGCTTGTCCAAAAAGATTGTAATATAGACGGAAACATTGCCCCTAATTTAAGGAATGCAAAATGCAAAAATGAGCAAGCGCTCTAGTTATAAAAAACCGAAAAAAATATTTTACAATATATTTACATCCAAACATAAAAGCTTACTGATGAATTTTGCATTTATATTCAGGTAAGGTAAAATTGCAATTGTAACAATTTTCTGTAACTAAAAATATCCTTTTTTAGGTTTTTACTTAACAATAGGGTACAAAACGTCAAACAGAACTGCTTTTAACTTTTGTCGAATCAGTAAAGTACAATGTCAAAATTTAGAACAGGGCATTTAGCACAAAGCCCTATCCTTGAGCCTGGCCCTACCATATGAAAATTATAATGTGGACGTTTCTTTTTAAATTCAATTTTCTGGTGTCCGATTTGACAATTGCTGTTGTGAGAATACGGACTTTTAATAACGCATATTGTCTACTTTACAAGCCATCAGTGGATCAGTAGGTTCTTTTGCATAAATATCAGCTCCACCAGTTCCATCACAAATGTTTTTCTCTATTTATCTTTTTCCGGCAGAGCATATTTCTCCCTTAATTTTTGCATATCAAGAGTCATTACAGATATGCCAATGCTGTCATAAATAGGGCACGATAATAAGGATGAAGAAACGGAAAGAGGAAAATACCACTGATTTACGTATATATAAACTTAAGTCTTATCATTTTTATTGAAAAATAGTACTACTCATACAAATAACTATGGCATATCGACAAAATTTTTACACAATGTGGTTTAAACATCTTTGAACTAAAATACTAGGGGAAATCAAATGAATTCAAGTTAAATCTTTTATGCGGTAAAAGAATTCTTAACATAGAATGAGTCTAATTAATTCAACATCATTTGCTTACTTTTATTTTGTCTACTTTTCCTGCCTAAACTACAATATTTGCAAAAATAATACATATTCTACCATTTTGATAGCTTTCTGTATGCCAAAATTGTGCTTAATTTTATGTATTTGCTACTTTGATGTATGTTGATGGTAAAAAAGAGGATTCACATCAGATATTTCAGAGGCAGTCCTGTATTTTTACTTCAGAACAACAAATGTTCAACTGCAGAAAAGCGTTTGCATTTAAACAAAAGGTAATTCCAGTAATTTTTTTGAATTGCATTGTTCAACAAAACTAAAATATTACCTTTTGATTTTCTTAAATACTCATCATCGTCTTGAGAGTACGAACAGAATTCAAAGTCTAGGCGTATCGGTATTTCACCTTTAATTGGTACCGACAAAGGCAATTCACTACTGGGTTTTATTTATAATAAGTGATTGTACATTGTGTAGCATTAATTTTGCAAAAGTTAGATAAAACAACTAAAATGAAACTTGGGCAGCCAGGAAATTGCGAATGCGAATTTGAAATATATATACTTGGACCTAGTTGATAGTAAGCTAGTATTCCTATTTCGCTGTCATTGCTGCATACAGGGAGATGCTAGTGCTGTTAAACATTTAATAATTGCTCCGTTATTTTTGCAAGCTTGCCTTTACGTTTCCTAGAAGTGCAGAAAAAAACTATCGTTGGCTAAGCTTTTGAGTTAAGAGAAGCGACGGTTAGAGGCAGTTGTAGTGGAAACGAGTATTAAATAACACGAAAGATGCTTATTAATTTCCGGTAAATAGAGGTGTAATATTTGTATATAGCTACAGAATGTTTTAGCCTGAGTGCGTACGGTGGGAGACCGTTCAGTCTTACCATAGAATTTGAACATGGTGGTGGGCAGTGCACTGGTTATCCATGCGAACGGACGACGCATCAAAGGTTTGTCATGGAAACCTTAAATACGCAAATGT